TTATATAATTACCTTATACTTATATCTACGTAATAGTACTTAAACTAACTAGTTTAGCCCTATTTAATAAACTAATTATAATAAATTATTATATTATTAATCTAGTTACGTAATTGATTACGTAATTCTAGTATATAATATAGAATTTATAATATATATATATATAAAAGAATAGATTAATATTATTTTAATTAGCTAACGTATATAATAAGCGAGTAAAATAAATAAGCGAATAAAATATAGAACCGCGACTATATTATATAAATTAATAAATCTTAACGCCCACTTTATTAATTTAATAAAACTATTTAGAGTCCTCTTTTTTAGATATTTCTTTATTAAATTAATATATTTACGTATTATAACTAGTATTTTTATAAACGTTATATCGTTATTAGCCCGTTTTAGTCCTTGGTTAGTAATTATTATTTTAATACGTTTCTTTTTTTACCTAAGCTATAGCCTCTCTTTATAATTAAAGGTCCTCTTTTTTAATTATAATAAAACTTCTTTTTTATTAAAAACGGTTTTTTTTAGCTCTCTAGCGTTAATTAAATAAGTTATTTTCTTTTTAAAAGATCTAGTTTTTAGATCTTAATAAAGCGATTTAGTATATAAACCTATAAGCCCCTTTAAATAAATACTCTATAGTTTCGATAATTAAAATTAAAGAGCTATTTTAATAACGGGTAATTCTATTTTTAATAAATTATAATTATAAAAACGCTTTAGTTAGGTTATTTAGTATTTAAAAAGTTTATACTAGGGGTATTATTAGGAGGGATTTTAAAAGCGTCGGAGTATATAATTTTATGTTAAGCTTTAAAAGTATACTCTTTATATTTAAAAGTATAAATCTTATCTTTTTAAATCCTTTTTAAATATTTTTTTTTATAATTACTTATATAAAAGCCTTATAAAATATTAAAAAGAAGTCCTTTTTAATAATATATATATTATCCCGATATATCTTATCCTCGATTTTTTAATTATATACCTTTTTTAAAGGCTTAAAATATCCGATATTTAAAAGCTAAAATAAATAAAATAAATAAGCTAATATATATAGGGTAATAATATTATTCTCTTTATAAAAAAGCTTAAAATCCGCAAAGTAATAACTTTTATATCCGTTGATAATAAAAAAGTAATATTAACCCTTTTTATATAGTTTTATATACTATTTAAAGTACTAAGCCTAATCTAAGCCTCTTTTATTTATTATCTATCTATTTTTAAATATTATAATAACCTAATTATATAAAAGACTAGATTCTATATATTAAATAGAGAAGTAATATTAATTTATAATAATAATATATAGCGGGACGCTATAACTTAACAAGTTAATAGCTTAAATAATTATAACCTATTTATAATTACTAAGCTATATTAATTTTATATTTAAACGCCTTTTAATATTAATTACGATTATATTAGTTAAGATCTAGTTTATTATAAAGCTAGTCTCGTTAAAGTTATAGATATTTAAATTTATAATACTATACTTTATAATTATATTCGCTATAAATAAAAACTACGCGTTTATTATAACTAAATCTTTATATTAAGCCTTTTTATAGTCCTATTTATAAAAACGATGCGTTTATAATTATAACTATCGTTTAATAAAGTTTAAAACCTATCGCTTTTTAATAAAGAGCGCGTCGTAGTTAATAAATAATCGATTTATTATTTTTTTAATATTATAAAGCCGGGGAGGAAATAATTAAGAATTTAGGTTAAGGATATATTTAATTAACTTCTCTTTTTTAAAAACCGTTAAATTATATAAATTTAATATAATATTACGTTATAATAATATTCTTTTTAATTACCGGGTTAACGTAACGTAACTAACTAAATAGATCTTAGTTATAGCCTAAGCGCTTAGTTTTAGATAACTTTAAATAGCTTAGAGGGTAAGCTAAATATTAGATTCTTTATTTTAATATATTATAATAAGTTATAGAAAAAAAACGCCCGATTATATTAAAATAATATAGTTGCGGTTCTATATTTTATTTGTTTATCTATTTTACTCGCTTATTATATACGTTATATATAGCTATCCTTTATTAAAGGGGTTATAGAGTATATATATCTATATTTATATAGTTATTAATTATATAAATATAAAAAAACGTTAATTACGAGCAGATTTAAACCGCTTTTTTAAAAAATGTATATAAATTAGCCTAGACGTTTAGACTCCCTAGACTTATATTACTAAGCTACATAGCCACCCTAGCTTATTATATTTATAGTATTTAAATTCTTTTTTTAGATAGTTATTTTTCTTTTTAATAATATTAAAGTCTATAGGTCCGTTATATTATCTATAAATAGTACTTTAATAATACTTATTCTAGTTATTATAAAGTTATTAATTTATTTAAAAGCTATATTAAAGCTACTATTAATATTTACGTTTACTATTAGATTTTTATTTATAATTTTTTTTTTAAAGTTAGTTATTAAGTTTAATAGCGAGTTTATTATATTAAAAAACTTTTTAGTTTATTAAATAGAACTAGTTTGTCTTTAACTTTATCTTTTAGTTTTTAATAAAATATAAACATTTTTATATTATTAATAAGATCTAGCTAAGTATTAAAATATTTAAATTTATTAAAATATTTTTTTTATTAACTTAGTTTATTATAATTATACTAAATTATACTTAGCTTATCGTTTTTTATTAAAGTTTTAAAATAAAGACCTAAAAACTTTTTAAATTTATCAAAATTATAATAAATATTATATATTTTAATAAAGTACTAGTTAAAAATCTCTTTATTAAACTATTTTTTTTAAATAGGTTTAAACTATTTAAAGGCTCGTTCCCTAAAACAATTAATAATATATATAACTTTTTTCAATTTTATTAATAAAGTCTTTATAATAAAAGTTCTAATAGTTCTTAACTTAAATTAAAAAACTTTCGAAAATATTTTAAGTACTTTTATAAATAATAAATACGCTAAGCTTAAGTTTTTATTATCCTTCTTAAAAAAGGTATAAGGGTACGGGCAGGCAGGTACAAAGTCCCTAGCCCAGTAGCTTACTTAAGCGTACGTATAATACACGTCTAGTACGTAGTATTAGAAGTAACTAGTCTTTTAAGTTAATTGATAAGAGCGTAGTATATTACCTACCTCTTTATAATTCTTTTAATATTATATAGGTCTTCTAGCTAATTAAAGCGGGTACTAAGTATATATAGGGGCTAGGTTTAAGTCTTATTTATAAAAGCCCTAATACGCTAGCTCTATTAGCTTATATTAAGCTTAGAAAAAGGTATATAGACCGTACGTTATTAATAGTTCGGTAAGTACGGGGCTAAGTACTTACCCTCGGGGTTAGCGTATATACTTTCTTTTTAAGCGGGTAAGTAGGCGCTAAATATATATAATAAATTGTAACTCGGGACGCGTTACTAAAAGAAAGAGGTAATTATAAAGGTACGGGTAGGTAAGTATAAAGCCCCTAGCCCGGCAGCTTATTTAAGTATATGTATAATATACGTCTAGCACGTAGTACTAAAAATAACTAATCTTTTAAGTTGATTAATAAAAGCGTAGTACACTACCTACCTCCTTACAAAAGGGTACCGATAATATTAATAATAGCTTAAAGAGGATTAACTTCTTTTTAAAAAGCCTAAATATTAATATTTACTATTTATTTTAAAATTAAATAACTTCGTTTTCTAGGTTTTAAATATATTAAAGGCTATTCCTAAACTATTAAATTATAATTTTAAAATTATAAAACTTATATATAGTTTCGTTATATATAGTTTATATTTCAATAATATTTATATATTTTTTTAAGTCGTTTTTTAAGTTATTTATAAACGTCTTCTTAAAAATAACTTCGTTATTAAAGTTAACGTTTATTAAAACTATTTCTATTTATTTAATTAAGCTTTAAATAGGTTATTTAAAAAAAAAAGCTTAAAATAAACAATTTTATAAAAATATAAAAAGATATTATTTATACTATTTAATTAGTCTTTTATAAAGTAAATTTACTAAATAAAAGTAATTAAAGTATTATAGCTAGCTATTTATAGCAAATATATTAATAGAAATTAAAGCTATAAATATTAAATAGTTAATATTATAATTATAAATAGGTTTTTAAAAATTATATTTATAAATTATAAAATAAATAAAGCTTTAATAATTAATCATAGTTTTATTAAAAAGGGGTTTTAATAAAAATAGTTAAAAATAATTATAAAATTTAATAATATTAAGTTAATTATTAAAGAAGTTATAAAAAGTCTATTTTTAAGCCTAGCTTAAGTCTATACTATATATAAGTCTTGTTTTTAAATATATTCTTTATTTTAACTATTTGTTAATTAAATTCTTTATTATAAATATATTAAATAGCTTATATTTTTTAGTTATCTATAGATTATTTAGATAACTTTATATTTAATATAACCTTATCTTTTATTTTTATATAATTTATATTATAGTTTTTCTATTCCTAGGGTTTTTTTAATATTTAATTTTATTTTATATATATAATACGCTTTAGCCGCTAGGTATCAATAGGGCAGGCCCTGGGTTTATATTAGGTCGTAATACGTAAATATTAATATTTACTTTTTTATATAATATAGTTACTGTTTTATATTTTATTTACTTATCTATTTCACTTGCTTATTATATACGTTAATAATATTTATTAAATAGTTAATTATAAAAGTTAGTTATAAAGGTTAAAAGCGGCCCTTAACTATAAAGGTTTCAAACTTTAATAATAATATAAAGGGTTTAAAAATAAAGGGCTAAAAGGCTAATATTTAGTATATTAAAGCTTATAAAGATTTTTCTTATTTTTATTACTTTTTATGTAATATATAAACTTAATTTTAATTAAATAAATTATAGATAAACTACTAAATAAACTTATTAATATATAAATCCTCTTTATATTTATATTTCTATTAAATAAAAAAGTTGAAGTAGTATAATTTTAAAGTCTTGACTAGTTAAATAACCCTAGTGCTCGGAGTATATTACTAAATAAGCTTATATATATATCACTCTCCTTCCTTGTTAGTGGATTAAGTGACTATCACGACCCACAGAGTAGGCGCAGAATCAACGACATGGCCCAGGGCAGTCAGACTCACCGTCACCAACCCCTCGAACTTGGATCATGATGGCATCTCCGCGGGTTGTCATGCGACGCAGTGTCAATATCGGGCTGAACTCATGGCGGATGTTTTCCTCCCAAAGCAGGTTGACGTTGTCTTATGACCTGCATGAGCCCAGCAAGCGACCTATCGGCGGGTCCTCCAACCCCATCATTTTTCTTCATGGTCTCTTCGGATCCAAGAAAAACAACAGGAGTATTAGCAAGCGAGTTCATCTATGACTGCACGGCTCTGATACGGCATGCTAACCGCCATGTAGAGTTCTCGCTCGCGACTTGGGTAGACCAGTGTATGCTTTGGTAAGATTCACAGGCCGATCCGCCAGTGCGTCGGAAGGATTTTCACTGAGATTTTGACCAGGACCTACGCAACCATGGCGAATCTCCTCACGCAAAGCAGCACGACTACGTCCATATGGCGGACGACGTTGCTGCATTCATGGACCAGCATGGACTGACGCTGCCCACTGTCATCGGTCACTCGATGTGAGTCGTTTCCATTTGAGCGCGTTACGCTGCTGCATGCTGAACGAGATGAACCATTCTCAGGGGAGCTAAAGCCGCCATGACCCTTGCTTTGAAGTCACCCGAACTTGTGCAAGATATCGTGGCGGTGGACAATGCGCCTGTTGACGCTGTCTTGGAGAGCTCATTTAGCAAGTACATCCAGGGTCTGAAGAGAATCGAAGCAGCGAACATCACGAAGCAAGCTGAAGCGGACGACATCCTGAAGGAGTACGAGGACGTGAGATTATTCCACTTTACTCTTAGACGGTCTGCTCGATCAATCATGCTCACTACAGTGCTCCAGTCTCTCCCTATTCGCCAGTTTCTTCTGGGTAATTTGTACCGGCCCGAGGCTGGCAAGCCGCAGCAAAAATTCCGGGTGCCCCTCGACATCATCAGTCGGTCCTTGATCCACATGGGCGATTTTCCATTCAAGGACCCGACAAAGACTCGCTTCGAAAAGCCTGCTCTATTTGTCCGGGGAACTAGAAGCAAGTACGTGCCTGATGACGTTTTGCCAACGATTGGTCAATTTTTCCCAAAGTTCCGACTGGCAGATCTCGATGCCGGGCACTGGTGCATTTCGGAGAAACCAGAGGAGTTTCGTCAAGGTACTGTACAGTAACACTTTATCCTCAAGATTTAGTCACAATACTGATCGCCCCTTGGTAGCGGTTGTTGAGTTCTTAAGGAACCAAGACTAGAGGATCCTCGGGGGTAAGCTGCTGTAGCTGTTTCACTCATCCTTCACCAAGCTATTGTGCATAATTGGCGAGTGGCGTTGAGGGCATATATTTAAACTAGGCAAATGTTCTGGACCGGGCCACATAGACTTGCTATAGATTCAATCCCACCAGGGACTTTTCGTACACCGTGGTATTAGGGATTGGTCAGGCGGCCCTCGCAGGTCGTTTTCTTCACCAGTCAGGGGAAATGAGCAAAGTCGTGATGGCCAGGCCACCAGCGGACCTTGAGCTGGAGGACCTTGAGCTGGAGCGCGAATATCCCAATCAAGGGAAGCAGCCTCGCATTTCCCGTATCCGTGCCAGACAACTCGCAGCCAGGCTGCGTACACATTGCAAAGTGTCTTTGAAGAATTGACCATTTACCATTTTGAGGTACCCTAGACCCGCAGCCGCCTTATATGCTACGCCATGTGCAACGACCTAAAACAATGCCGGATTTGTTTCCCGGCCGGTAGAGCCAGAGTCCCCTTCTGCCGGAGCATCCATCATGCAGGGCCTGATTCCTTTAAACCTCCTCAAGAACGCGCTCCTTGAACTCCCGCTCAACCTTCTGTCCCTGGTCGTCGGTGCCAGACTCGCCGTGGAGACCCATCAGGGCGCCGAGGTCGAACTTGGGCTGCTTGAGGAGCTTGACCTTGCGGATGTGGACCTGGGATGGTTTGTTAGTACCATTTAGTCACAGAGACAGCGCCACGAAAGGCAAAGAGTACTTACGTTCTGCAGGGGGTAGATGCCCTGGGTGGACTTCTCAATCTCACGGCCGATGACCTCGGGGATGAGCTTGGAGGTCAGCTGGGTGAGAGTGCAGGTAGAGGCCTCGCGCTGGATGATCTCAGTCATCTTACGGCGGATGGCACGGATTTGCGAAGAGGCAGCGTATGTGGTCTTCTTGATCTGGTTGGGGCGGCGCTTGGTGAAAGCAATGGCGAAGAGGCGGAGGAGGTAGTCGTCGGTGGTCTTGACGGTGACGTTGGCCTCGATGAGGGTCTGCCACTTGCGGACGAGGGAGCGGAGCTTGTCGGAGGTGAAGTCGAGGCCGTGGAAGTTGGTCAGGCAGTTCTTGCCCTGGACCTCGTCGACACGGAGCTTAACCTTGCGGAAAGCGTGGTCCTCATCCTTCTGGAGATCAGCCAGAGAGACCTCCAGAATGCGGCCCTTCAAGGCGTCGTTGGCGTTCTTGAGACCAGTGGTTCTGTTGACCAGGGTCTTGCCGACACTAAAAGACACACGCAGTCAGCACCCATGTGTCCAATAGCTCAATTCCTTCTCGCGTTCGGCTGTTGACGATGGCTGGATATCGAATCGTAATCCACTTCGATTTTGGGCTGAAAACTCACTCGCGAACGTTGAAAGGCGCGGGGGCCTGTGAGAGGGGAAAAAATTCAGTCAGCATACTGCGGCACGGCATCGAGACTTATTTGACATAGCGGCCAAACACATACCTTGATCTGGTACCAATCCTTGCGGGAGAAGGGGTCCACGGTCTTCTTCTTGAGACCCTTCTTGCCCTTGGACAATCTCTTGTTCCTGCGAGAGAAACACTGGTTAGCTTTTGTTGACAGCCTGCGCCTGCGAGACGACGATTGCGGCCGGTGGCATATCGTCGTCAATTCGTCTGAGGTGGTTGCTCTCACTTTCCCACAGCCATTTTGGGCGGCTGTTAATTGTCTGGCGGATGAACGTTGAGTAGTTGAAAGGTTTGGAGGGGTGTTAGTTTCGCTGGTGATAAAATTCAAGATGCGAGAATGTGTGGCTCGAAATTCTTAGCGAGTGTGCCCCGTTCGAATTATGTAATCCGGGTTTTTTCCAGCATGGGGCACTGTGCCTGCCCCTGCCCCGACCACGCCAGGGCAAGCACCGCATGGACTCCGTCAGCCAGTAGCACAGTAATCAGCTATCGATGCCGTGTCTAGCACTGTAAGTCACGTGATACACTTTTTTTTCATAATTCTCAGGCGTCGAAGCCAGCCCCAAGAGTTCCACTTCTGAGACGTCAGTGTCTCTGCAATTTTTCAGCCAACGCCTTTAATTGGTCGACTATTGAAGACCACTTTGGCCAGTGACATGTCATCACAATGCTTCGGCCCCTACCTACCTAGTAAAGATTGAAGGCAAAAAGATACCACTCCTGGAAGTATGCCCCGCCTCTGGAGCAAGGTGGGCGTGATGCCCTGTGCCTCCACATCGTGGTGATCGGTGACCGGGTCTCTCCCGCCTTACCGAGATTTACATCCATTCAGTTCTGTCCGTGAACAAGCACGGCAACATGAGGTAGTGTATCTTTAGTTTACGCCTACATTCTTACCACCCGTGTAAACCTATGTACCGTTTTATCTTATGTTCGGTTTGACATACGTACGGGTATCACACATAGAACAACCTTGAAAAGCTAGATATCCTCCAAGATTCCACAACGCCATTGAACGAACAACGCGGCTTTCGCGTTTCTCAAAAGGAAAGATGCGCAACTCCTCAACCGACCCCGAACCCACAAAATCAACGCCCTGGCGCTAGAACGAATTATATCCGACTCTCAACAACTTCGATATTTTCAGATCGCCCATTCCGTACCATTGTCCGGCCTCTGTCTTGTATCTTCGCGCCGTCTCTCCTGTCGTTCCTGTTTCCTCCTCGCTCAATCACCAGCCGGGAGCAAAACAACTCTAGGCCGGCGTTGTCTTTTATTTCCTCGCCTTGTTCCGCACTTACGCAGAACGCTTATTATGTGCTGAAACTCCCAGTTACAGCGTTAAACTCTTTCGGGGAAGCTCTTCCATGTCGACTCATCACGACAATTCCCCGTTTTATACGTCCTCTTCCTTGTCATCGCTTCGCCGTTCTCCATCCCACGCATCAAAGTTGGGAAAGCTGAAATAGCCGTTCGAGTCTGGCCACACTGGTATCAGTAATTTGATCGTCAGATGCTGGTATCGTGGCAGTCTACGAACAAGATAGGTGTTCTCGATGGCCCTGGACTCGATTTGTGGCTGGAATGGTCATGTCTTCGGCGCTGAGCGACGCCATATGGGGAGCAGCCACCGACGTCGGTGAGTATTCAGGAGCATGGCCCGAACATACGGCAACGCGGCTGAGGAGTTCGGTGGCCCTTTGCGACGATTGCGGGCTCGAAATGGCGCCACGGCTGGCATTGGATGTTGTTGTGATGGTAGGTTCCGTTGCGCTGGCTCTTAGGAGCCTTGGCCGACGTCGACGATCCGGCCGAGGTGATGCCTCTCTCCTCCGCACACCGTCCGTGTCTCGAAGGTCCCGGGAAATGGTGGCCATCGCGTTGAACAAATATCCTGGTTTAGGTTTGGATGAGACCGATAATGGCACGACGGCGATCGAATTGCAAGAGTGCAACAGTTCTGGGATGACAAGAGACCATAATTGCTATGTTGCGCCCCTCGTCAAGTGGGCGGGCGTCGTGCGCGTTAACAACAAGCCATCACCTCCGGCTACTCGGCGAGAATGTCGGTTCCTTGGGGACGGGCGAGCCCGGTCGACGGTTTTCCGCTGACAGTACCAGCGTTCCATCATTGGACCACATGGCCGGTGCCTGATGGGGAACCGGCTCCCAACTATGTGTCTGGTGTTGTATGGGTCGGTGAGCATCTCTTTGGGCAGTTATACGCAAAGGCCATGCATGGCCGGCGTCACGCCTGCAGCCATTGTGGGGTTGCCAACCGCTTCGTTAACCATTTCCCGTGAGGTCCCGCTCAGTCGAATCCAATCAAGGCCGCCCATGACCATGGCATTCCCAGACCGGTCAAGGACATAATACACTGCTCGAGCCGGTGTACTCCGTACCTTATACTGCACAACCATAAGTTGATATGTAGTAGTCACGGTAGTATATCCGTAAAGGATTCTGCATCGCAACACCCCCGGTCAGCCCACAGACGAGGTCGGGCCTATCGCGCCCCGGCCTGGTTTCTTCGCAGCCGAGTGGTGCGACAATCACGGCTGATCGTCGTCTCTGGACACTGGTAGACTCTCGCGGCTCTGTATAATCATTATCTATGTTGCAGCTGGTTCGGTCAGCTTTGTATTGTTGCTAGTCAAGTCAATTCAACACAGGCAAGCTATCTCACTGGGCGCGGGGTTGGTTCCTGACCACATGCGTTGCGTCTGTCTGGAAACATGCAGTCCGGCTTCAGACATTATTACGTGCTAGCCAAGGTATCATTGCTCCCGATTTCCACTCCTCACCTGGCTCCCATCTCCCGGTCCAAGACTGGCACGCCATAGGCATACCACATACAGACTATAATGCATGTTCATCTCAAGCCACTGCTGTCGGCAATGGGATAAGTGTTCCGCGGGAAGGCCAGCACTGCACCACCTTGTAGAGGAGCTTCATCGGATCTGAACGATGCCTTTTCATCCGTCATCTAGACCAAGTACCGAAACCATGTGCGTCATCATCTGAAGCTGGCGATGTTGCCTTTGCTTGCCCCTCCCCCCAGCAAATACCATCTCTGCGGGAGCTAATGATCGAGGCTGTGAAGAAAAGAAGGATTTTGTCAGTCATACACGATGCCCGCAGCCCGGGGGAAGCAGGGAGACTTACTCTTCCCACATTCTGCCCTGTACAGCTCTTAACTCTTCTTCTGTCATGCGCTTTCCGGCGGTGAAGTAACCTAGAATGACTCATCAGTCACTGACAGCGGGCCACGCTCCCCTTCTCACTTGCATACCTGCAGTAATCTTTGCATCAATCTCAACGCGAGAATCTGCGGGAATCCACTCATCGGGGAGCTCAACACGCTCATGGATGGGAATTCTAGAGGAATTGTCAGCAATGTCTAAAATGCTGACACGCAATTGCATCGTCATTACCCTTGGCCTACAATGGCATCATGTTTCATGCTGTTGTGGTGCACGTTAGCGTTATGGCGTCTTGGATGATGAAGAGCTACTGACTTGCTCATGCTCAGCATTCTGTCAATCTTGCGGATTCCGAGCCAGTGCAGGATATCAGGCATGAGAGCCTGGAAACGCATGTCCTTCACTCCAGCAATGTTCTCTGTTCTCTTGAAGTAGTCCGATGCTCGGTCTTCGCCCCGCTTGCGAGCGTTGTACACGACTTCGTGGTCAGTTAGCAGCCTGTTATGAAATGTGCAACCTCGGTCACCCGCGTGTAGTCTTCACCCGAGCTAGGAGCGGATGCCGAACAAGCAGGGAGGCACGTACGATACTATACAACTGTCATCAACACATGCTCAATCAATATTAGGTTCCGGCATTGCTCACCTTGGTAACTTCACCGAGGGCTCTACCCTCTTTTCGGAAGTAAATAACGACACCACTGCCGCCATTCTGCGCCTCCTTGACTGCCTCTTCGATACCGAATATGAGATAAGGGCGGCATGTGCAGATATCGGATCCAAACACGTCGCTACCATTGCACTAGGTCGCGGTTAATTGCAAAACCACCCGTAGGAGTGAGACGACAAACCTCATCGTGGATACGCAACGCCAGTCGTACTGACTCGTCGGACATCTTGGCCGGGTCGCCGAAACAGTATACTGTCAGACCACCTATATGATATACATTGTTAGTTCATCCTCTTGCTGGAAGCCTGGGTGCTATTACCTATGGGGGGCAGAAACACCTTAATATCGTTGCGGGTGATCAACTATGACAAATGGTCAGCGTGCGTATCTGTGAGGCAGGGGCCACCAACCTCGGGGTAGCTGCCACCAGTGTGTTCGAAAAGTGACCTTCGCAAGGCCCCCTCGTCTGATTGAAATTAGCTACTGAAAGATTCCCAGATAGTTGTAGCCTGACGAACCGATGCCGAATCTTTCAGCTACGCCAGGGAGATACCAAACCTGTGAAGAGCGTCAGCAAAAAATCTAAGTCAATAGCTGGGAAGCTGACATACCGGCTCGACGGCGAACTTGGTTACGGCTAGCTCTCCAAGCTCATTCAAGCAGACTTTGCCGTCAGGAACACTAGCTAATTAGCCCCTACAACGACACCCACCGTCTCCTGATCATGGATTCACTCACAGTCTTCCGCTCTTGACGCTCTCCTCCAGCTCGGGAAGCTAAGTATTGTCAGGTGACGTAATTTTACTACAGCAGACGCAGCGGTACCTTCATGTGTGCCTTAGTGATGGCGATGGTAGGGCGAATGTCGACTATCGCGATTCAGTCCAAGATCTCATTCTGGAAAAGGTGCAGGCTTAGTGTATCTGCTCACCGTTGTGCTTCTCGATAGTGTCCTTGAAGAGCCAGGGAGACAGATGGCCCCAGGGGTCCATAGCGACAATCTTCTTGGGATCTCCCCATTGAGGGAAGGGGCCAATCTTAGCAGCCGGCTCCGTGTTGGTGAAGTCGGGTCTAGAATCAATGAGTCCATATGCTAGCAGGCTTTGGCGGTAGTACGGCTCACCTATGCTCTAGATTAAGTTGTTTGCTGGCAACAGCCAGGGCATAGTAGATGGAGTAAGAGCCACCGCTGCAATTCCATTGTCAGCTATTCTGTCCCGCAGCAATTCATATCCATGCCATCGAGATGGCCGAAGGGCAGTCCATGGATGGGTCACTCACTGGGCTGAAAACACATGTCAGTTCAAGACAACTCAGCAGACAGGTAAAGGTAAGTACTAACCTCCGACAGCTTGAAATTGGACAAAAGTGTCAGCTAAGGTTGCTCTTCATGCGTAAGTAAGGGGGCTGGGCCTACGGACCGTTACGTCTCCCAATAGTGGTCGATGAACGAGAAACAACAACTGGGCCACGACGATGAGGGTCCGATTCGCCCCAGTTCATGGGGAGAGGGTTGATGCCGATCTGCTTTGGATAAGTCCTGGAGTGAGAGCATCAGTCAGAAAGAGACCTGCAATGGTGATAGGCAGCAGGCGGTGCAGCTCAGTAGCTGAAAACGTACGTTAGGATGATGCGGGAAGTGAGGCCGGATCGCTGGCTAGGTGACGAGGGCACAGCTGGGGCCTGCAAGGTCAAATCGGACGCAGAGCTCTTGGCAGAATCACCGACGACATCGGAAGGCTCGGGGGTTCGAGATCTTTCAGGGACCTCGCCGAGGGATGGCTCCGGACCAAGTGTGGCGGCATCAGGATCAACAGGCAGCTGTTGGTATCGCTGGTTCAGCAGATCGACAGCAGCCACAAGGTCAGACTGAGTCTGCTGAATGGATTTCAAGGAACTTATGACTTCGGCTAACGGGCCGTTGTCAACGGTAGGGTCGCTCATGACGATCAATTTCTAGTTGTCACACTACAACGGCAGAAGACACAGAGAGAGAAAGCCTGTTTTGAGAAGGTCACCCGCGTCTTTCAAAGATGCGCTGTGTTGGGGTGCGAGAGACCGTGAACAGACTGCTATAATGCTTCGCGAGGGAAGATTGAGCAGGAGAGACGGAGAATCGAGACGGAGGCTAGTTAAAAGTAGGAGGAGAGGGAGGAGGAAGAGGAGGAAGAGGAGGAGGAGGAGGAGGAGGAAAGGATAAAGAGACGGGAGATGTGGAAAGGAAGCTGGACGAAATGAAGTTTAATAAGAGGCGAGTGCAAGTAAGACAAAGCTAGAGTATACCGTGTAAGGTAAGAAGAGATGGGGACAGCTATCTATTGAGAGGCAAGGCATACAATGGCAAGTCGGTGACTACCGATGGCTGGTCCACTGGAGAGCCAAGGATGAGGGACGAGGAGAATGACTATATCGAAGTCAGCAGTGAGGGCTATGTAGTAAACAGCATGAGAGAAGATAGAGATGCACAAAGGAGAAACGGTCGACGCCCCGAGGGCGATCTCGTGACCCCATCGGAAGGCGCCGCGCGTGAACATTGAGCTGGCCGGACGGGGAGGGGCAAGTACCCACTACCGTGCCCGACTCTTCTTATCCGTGGGTAGCAGGTGATGCGGTACATGGGCTTTCGAGTCTCACAGACGTCCATGCCATTTACCTTAGTTCGGGCTGGGGACGGGGGTTGGGGTGCTTTCTACGGCGTACCGTACCTTCCTTACCTCACCTGAAAGGCATGCGGGCACCTGCACCCTCCCCCGCCAACCAACCTTACAGTATACACTTACATAACAAACCATGATCGAGGGGCAACTACAAGGCATAGCAGCAGACTCGTGCATGACAAACAGTGCAGTATTGGGTACGGAGTAGTTGTGCACCTTCCCTTACCTCAAGGTGAAGACGTGAAGCTCTGCTGTGTAGTAGTCAAGGTGGTAAGGGAAGGTAGGTAGACTCTGTGCTCAGCATTGCTAGTGATAAGCATCATTGTTTATGGGGAGGTCCACGATAAGGACGCTTGGGTGTGTGGACCTGTGTTGATGCGGCGGCGGCGTCCACCTCAGTTGTCGGGTTGCGGGGCCGTCCGCGACCTTCCCAAACACCCAGGGCAGACAAGGACTCGGTGGAGGCGGGGGGGGGGGGAGAGCAGACAGCTCAATGCGGCTTCGAGCGCCCAAGATAAGGTGATCGACGGGCCTAACGGTACCTTACCTTATAGGTACCTTAACTTCACAAAGGCGTCTGAGGCCAGCAACTACCTAAGACAACCTCATAGAGGGCACTGTCAGAAGACAGTGGAGGTACGATATTGGAGGCGATGAATGCATGAGGTCAGGTTCAGAGTGCTTTACCTCAAGAGACGCCCTCCCACGACCCCTCACTCGCTACGGTAAAATAGATCGAAGACATAAGGTGTCTTGCGTACCTACCTTAACTGTTCACAATAACAATGGCTCATTATGTAGCTCAGAACACTCCATGTTGGATGCAATGCGTGAGGTGTCTATTCGAATCTAACAGTTGTGCAGGTGACATATGGGACGGGTATGAGCCGCCCTTAGCTTGTGCATCAAGTGCCGGACTCCGATATCGTTCCTCTGAATACTTACCTAATGTACGATAGATAGATAGTATACGGACAGGTAGTACTCCATACCTAAGGTACCTTACCTCAAGGTTGGAGCGGGGTGGGATGTGCGATGCTTCCCAGGTTAGGTGCCTTATCGATTACGCGCTTACTTAAGGTGCCTTAAAATGCGTGCATGGCACCTCAGTCACCCCGCTGTCAGCCTCCGATAAGGTACCTAGTGATAGGTAAGGCACGGAGTATGTCTGCGCCAGCAGAGCTTTCTGATCCACCGTGACTGGGGTTAACAAAGCGGCACCAGTGCACCATGCGCCCACGCCGCCTCGGCCAAGGGCTGTCCACCCGCAAAATACATTTGAGAAGTAAGGTAGCCTAGGTCCGCTACCTATCTGAAAGTCGCCGTCGCGCATTCCACCGTCGTATCCGTCGCATTTGCTGGATTCTTGGCTTCCATTCATTCAACACCCGTCGCTGAGCCATCTTCCTCAAACCACCAATCTCATTGCTTCCCTTCCACGTCTGTTCAAACCCACGACGTATCCTGCGCTTGCAACCGCACACGAACGCGCACAACGACGAACTGCGCAACCGTCTATTCGCCGACAGTCTCTCGCCCCGTCTTTGTCCCTTCTACATTCTACGCGCCGGTCGCGCATATTGTTCAGCGTCACTCAACACCATGGGGAAGCGCAAAAGTTCGAGCAAACCTCAAGGGCCGAAAAAGGTTCGTTTGCTTCCTCCGCCTGCGGGCTGGTGAAGGTTCTGGTAGGCTGGCTACGCAGTCACTGACGCCAACTCACAGAGAGAGGTTCTCCCCTCCAAGTTCACATGCCTCTTCTGCAACCACGAAGACTCCGTCGCTGTAAAGCTGGATAAGAAAGCGGGTGTTGGTTCGTTGGACTGCAGAGTATGCGGCCAGATGTTCCAGTGTAGTATCAATTGTGAGGCTCTATTCCTGCAACTGGATCTGTCTCCCCCTTCCTAACCGCTAACCCCTCTGTTAGACCTCTCGGCCGCCGTGGACGTTTACGGAGAGTGGGTGGACGCTGCAGGTAAGTCCATTCTTCGATCTCTATCCGCTGTTACAATAGCCTCGAGAATATGCATTTGACATACGTCCGCAGATGCTGTTGCCAAGGAGGCAGGACCTGCCGGCGGAAGCAACCACAAGACCTCGAGCGCTCGGCGCGCTCCCCCGAGCCGGCCAGTAGACGATGACGACGACGACAGGAGATACGGGGGTGAGGGTATCGATATGGATGATGATGAATACTAGATGAACTAGCAACCTCTCGAACGTACACGAGGAGGTGCATAGTCAATGAACGCAGCCCAGGGTCTGGAACACAGATGGATGAGGACAGCAGTGCAGAAGAAACACAAGCCGGAGACCAATGCCATGTAAAGTTGGCTTTCGGGACATACAGCCACACTCAAACAGTGTAGAACCTGTCCCCAAAATCGCCGAGGCCGGGGATGATGTAGCTATCACAGCCATTAGTATGACAGAGGCTTCTTAACATCGCAGCATGCGAACTTACTTCTTTTCGTCCAGACCCTAGAGCAGAACGATTGTTAGACTGTGTGATCCGAGGCGGACTGAGGCCGGCTTGTACATACCTGGTCGACAAATGCCGTGACAACTCTCAATTTGGGGAACTTTGCGGTAAAGTTCTGGATACCCTCAGGGCTCGCAATGAGGTTCAGGAACAGAATGCGGTCCTCGGGAACACCACGAGCCTTGAGGACCTGGACTGCCATGATGGCGGACCCACCAGTGGCAAACATGGGATCGAGAAGGAGGACCCAGCGCTGGGCGATATCCTCTGGCAGCTTGTCGTAGAACAGTTTCGGCTGAGCTGTCTCCTCATCGCGCTGGATCAAGATCTTGCCGATTCTGACAGAGCGGCAGCAGTCGCGTAAACCTTGCTCCATGGCCTCGCCAGCACGCATGATGGATACGCCGCAAATTTTGCCTTGGAACATAAGGCCAGAGTAAGTCCGACCAATGGGTGTTGTCACGTCATGCTCAACGGTAGGCAAATGGTTCAGTCCTTCCTCCACGAGCAGGCGAATGATGCGGTTGGAGTAGAAGATGAAGTCACCGCGCTCCGTGTTCTTGTCTCTGATGATGCTGCCGGAGATCAGTAAGCCAATGGTACAACTCAAAGAGGTGAGAGGTGTTTCCCTGGCTACGTCTCCGCGTAGGGCCGGTGCCTCATCATAGTCTACCGGATGCTACGAGAGGTAGGGAGAACAGTGGGAAGCTTACGTGAGAAGGGCAATAAGTTGAGGCGTTTGGGACAAGACAACAACGTTGTCTAACTTGATCTCAGTCGAGACAGTGGCCGTGGGCTTCTGGCTTTCTGAACGATACAACGGACCGACACACTGAGTAGGTCCGCTACCGCTGGCGGACTTTGATTCTTGACTTGCCATTTCTGAAGAACAGTGGCTGCGGTGCCTGATCAAGATTTACTCGAGCAAAAGGATGGCGATAGTATGGTATGGAGGAATGCAAGTGAGGTACCGGTACCGGACGAGGTGGGAGGGGTTTGCAATGGGTTTTGTCCAAAGATGGCTTGGCTTGGATCTTAAGGGTAGAAGGAGGAGGTAAGTAAGACGGGCTTTGGGGGTAGAAAAACCCAGAAACTACCTTAAGGTAGGAAGATGGAAACAGGGCAGCGGGCCAGGAAAGCTTCCAATGGATCGATATAAAGTACCTTTGGGCCAGGTCTTCGCGGGAAGCCAAAAGGGTTAAACGGGGTGAACGGATCGATTGTGCCAGGAGACACAATGGAGCTCGCCGTCCCCCGTTGCTCAGGTCAGATACCTAAGGTATGGTAAGGTAGGGTAGGTATCCGTAGATTGCCTACCTAGGTATACCTCGTGTCGAGGAAGGTAGGTAACGAAGCGAAGTGGTCCTACGAGAAAGCAAAAGTGTCTCGACTTGTGGGTAGGTGATAATAGGCAGGTAACCATCAACGTGGGAAATACTGATTTGGTTAGTATCTTACCATACTTTTGTCAAGGTATGTGTCAAGGCACCTCAAGGCACTGAAGCTGCTCAACCTGATGCGCTCATACTCATAGGTACCTAGCTCACAATAACCAGCGATAAGGGTCGTGCGGGGCTGGTTTCTGATGTGAGGGGTTATAACTGATCCAATTCATTCGTACATACACCTAATAACTTACCCCCTTACCTGCAGTGTCCTGGCACGCCTGGGTTGACGGGGTCTCACCCCACCAACCAGCCAGCAACCTACCTTAGCATAGAACACTGCCTATGTAGGTACCTAGATAATTAGGTATCGAAGGCGAATCAACCACCTGCCGCAAGTAGGCACGTATCCTAGATGACAATAAGCGTATTTACTCAATAATCGGAGTTGCGCATCTTGCATTTGGATGACCAGGCAGGCAGGCAGGCAGGCAGGTATCCTTAAGTGCTTTCCAAGTGGTACAAGTACTTCTGCCTCTTCTCAAGCTACCTACCTAGGTTGGTGCCTAGGTAAGGCAGGTACCTAGCCTGCGTCCGGTCATTACAAACATGACCCGTCCGGCGGAAGCGACGCTGGACGGCGCGGCAGCCACAGCACGGCAGGAAACTTGTGCCCAGGCGGAGGACAAACAGACGCAATGCCCGTTCCCGTCCTTGTCCTTACTATTGGAGCTGAGGTAAGCTACCTACCTTACTGCGCAATACTCCATACCATGCCTTTCTTCTCTCTATTATCCAGCTACCTGGGAGCTCTTCAAGCACTGTTTCCACCTGAATGAATTAAATCATCCATCAAAACCTCTTACGTTTAGGATTCGACTCTGACGGGTGCCTCTTCTCCTGTGAATGTGCAAGGCTGTCTTATTGGCTTGCAGAGTCTCCCCGTTTCTACTCTTTCCATCGGCTGCTACCTTGACTAAGGCAAGGCAGAGTTGCAAGCCAGCAGGACGTGCCTCGCCGCAAGCCTCCGCGCCTCACCTCACTCAGCTATAGCCCTTCCCGGTCCTTTTGGAAACAACAACCACCCCACGCTCTTCTTGACAAGCGCCGCCTGCGTCGCTACTTCCGCCCAAGTAATCATTGGACTCATTGTTCCACCCATCGTTCGCCATACCGAGTTCTCCCGTCGTTGCCCGTAATCACCGCGCATCGCCAATAACCCCCCTCGCTTCACCTCGCTTCATTAAAAACCTATACCGTGGCTGTCATAAGCCTGTCTGCGTTGGCCCCGACATAACATGGCTACCAGGGACGGGCCGAGCGTCCCGCGCAAAAAGTCAACAACTTACGGCAAGACATCGCGAAAACGACCTATTCACGCGTTTCTCGACCTGTCAAATGCTTCGCGACGCGCCGGCAGTGCCACGCAACCAACCGAGGCCTCATCAGCGCCTGCCGACCAGCTCTACGATCTTTACGACCCACCATCCGATGACCCTTTGCGCCTTGCACTTTCTCGGCAAGTTGCGCCACCTGTTGACGCGCCCGTAATCCAGTCTGATGGGTTGAATAAAACGAAGAAGAGGAAGATGGCTGTTGCGCCTATGGCTAAAGCTGATCGCAAGGTCGATGTCAAAACACCTGTCATCGCTCCGCCAGCGGGGTTGCCCTCTCATACCCGCCGAGGGAAATCGCCCTTCAACACAAGCGCATCTAGTTCTTTATGCGCCGCCAAACAGGATCCTTTACCGCGAGGGGTCGATAGACCCAAGATACCGACGCAAGCCGAACCACGCAGGAGCGCTCATCGTGCTCAACCCGAGGTTGAGGTTCCTCGCATGACCGGGCCCAACTTGCAGACACGACAGGCATTCTCACAACCTTCGGAAGCGCTGGTGGTCGGAAAGCCAAGCTCCACGATTACAAGACCACAAGCGACGAAGCCGAAAATGCCATCCAAGCCGAAGCGCATCCGTCTCATCGATCAGTTAGCGGCGCAAACAGAAGACAGCTCCGACTCGGACTCCGAAATATCAGATTCCTCGCAGCACTCTAGGACGAAAGCGGCCGATGCTTCTCCTTCCACCCCGATAAAGCCTATTGACATGACACCGAAACCATCGATGCGGCCCAAGGTGCTCTCAAGCACTAGGAAGCTGAGATCGACGTACGGAGAGCAGAGGACGCTGAAGACAGATGAGTCGGGGGGAGACAGCCTAGGCAGCCAGATGGGAGTTGAAAGCACCCAGCATGATCTGAGCCCGCCCCCAACAATGTCGAAGCTTGCGTCCTTTACATTCGAAGAAGAAGAGATCGAGGAAGACGACTCTGCTAGGGGTGGTGGCATCATTGATATCCATGCGCTCAGGCAAGCTGGTGCCAATCACCGTTTTGCAGACAGCATGGCCGATTTGCTTGACAGAGTCGGCACGCCCCAGCCGCCCAGATCACAGACAGCGCGCTCGAGGCGCAACGCCCTACTGGAGCTGGCGAGTAAGCTGCGGGACAAGACTTTTGTCCGTCAATTTCGCGACCAGGGTGCGAAGGACGCCTTGTTTCACGCTCTCGGACAGGAAGAGGACTTTGTCAGCGGCTTCGTCCTCCTGTCTGTTGTTCTGGTTCTATTCACATCATATTCGGTCCCTCATCTCGTCCCTCAGCTACAGAGCGAAGGTATTGCGCAACTGGCATCGAGAATGTTCAACATGGACGAAGACATGGTCAGCATTGCAGCGCAAAGGAAATCTAACTTATCTAGGAACGCACAATCATCACTTACTGCTTTGAAATCTACGATACAGCACCTGGATTTATGGAGGGGCTCTCCGCCCGCCGTGCTGTCGCCAAGAACGGTTGCTTTGAAAGCCATATCCGTACTCTGCAAGGATGGTGACAGTACAGCGACACGACACATCCTCTCTAGCTTGACAGATCAGCTATTTGGCTTCGCCGAGACAGGCTGGCAAAATTGTAGAACTCATGGGATGGAGGGAACAGACGGCGGCCTAGCGCTTTCGCTCCTCGAAGGCTACTCGATTGCAGCTATGGAATCCGACGCCGGCCCTCGATGGACAAAGCGATATCTTCCCATCCTCGCAGATGTTCTGACGACAGCCATGGCTCGACCTCTGCAAGAATTCGGCGATTTCGAGTCGACAGCATTGAAGTTGGCACTGAACACAACAAATAACAACCCTGTTGCTGCAAGCGCCTTCAGTAGAGGAGATCTTTTCCGCGAGCTAGCAGAGGCCAGCGTTGCGGGGTTTGAGCTCCTGGAGCAGTCTATCCGCAAAGGGGCCTTTTCAAAGGATGTCTACGAAACGCTCATGCTGCTACTAGGCGTCATGATCAATACCTCCGAGCACTCTCCGTCAGCCCGGCAGTCGGTGGATGCGTGGCAGGGGCAGGACGGCACAACCTTGGACAGGCTGATAGAAGTCTACCTTGAGCATCGCGATTCGGCTGGAACAGTGAGTAATCAGGGGACAGGGCGAACGGCACAGACATGGCTAGACTAACATGATTGAATAGGCTGATTCAGTCGAGAAGACCTCGGTTGCCGTAGCCCACGGTTACTTGGCGATACTATTAGGCTACTTGTCGTTGGGTAGCCAAGTACGCCGGCGGCTGGAGGAAAAGAGTCACGGAAGAGGCACCAAGTACTTGCTCGATTCCATTCAGGAGTTTATGGCTTTGCACCAAAAGTTGGACACGGATGAGTTGACGACGAGCTTGCAAAACCTCGTTAACGAGCTGAGGCAGAGGCATAAAGCCTCTAGTCGGTAGCGAGTTACAGTCGGCATTTACTGGGGAAGACGATACATTTAGGTGTAAGTCAGTGGCTTCGGAGCCAAAACGGGTAGTATTGTCAGCCACCGTTGCCGTCATTGCCAGCAATGTCTTCTAAGAAAAGACGGTGGCAATCCGGCTTGGGGGATTCTGAACAACAATTTTGACAGACTGGCGCGGCAATGAAGGCCGGTGGATAGGCAGGCAAGCAGGTGTCCTAGCAGGATGGTTTGCGAGGAACAAGACGCTTCCGTCGCCCATCGTTGGGTACTTAAAAAGAATTCTTATCACATAACCTTCGAATTGGATGACGGGCAAGACAGAGTCTAGCTGGATCCAGCTTATCCTACCACCAATCGTTGCTCAAATTCTCTAGAGTAACGTCTGATTTCGATTACTATTGGAACCCTTCCGTTGTAAGGCAAACCCCGTACCGGAGACAGCCATGACGCACCTCACTGATTACATACCTATTAGGCGTTTAAAGGTAGGGTACGGATGTCTAATATCTTGGGCCGTGGAAATTTCCAGGTTGGGAGGGTTTCTGCGGTATAACCTTCCGAAGAAGGTATTGAGGTATTCCGAATCCAGCACGATGTGGTGGGACATTGGAGGCGCTTCTCTTACCTTGTATAAAGAATAAACAAATAGAAGCGAGAGGCAACAATATTATGAAAAAGGCAAGATCTGGTAACCGAGACTCTACGGTCCGGGATACCTAAGCGACGATTTCGCAGAGGGCATTCTTGGTTCTTGGGCTTCGTGAGTTCCTCACCTACCTTACCTTTTTTCATCAAGGTAAGCAGGTCCCTTAGCCTTAGCACGGGTCCACTACTAAGTCCAGGCCAGAGAGCTGGTAAATGACCTGAGCACAGAGCAATGTGTCAGTACTAGCCTCTGGTAGCAGAAGCCCGCCTCTCCTAAGACATTGTGCATGTGCCTGCGTTGTATCCCGCTCTCTGCTGCTGGGTTCGTTCCATACTTGCATACGCCATGCCGCCGCTCATCCCCCCCTCCATCAATCTCTCCATCAACATCCATTACTACCGCTGCTTTTTGCTACACCTTGACGCTGCAACACTGATCCTGTGCGTCCGACTACTCTTTCTTTCCTACTTGCTTCGACTACAACATTCTCCTCGCTCCTCACCTTATGCAGCCAATTATTGCCTAAGGTAATATCAGCCTTCGATAAAAAAAAGGGCAGCATCTTACGTGCCCACATTGCACAGCAGAGGCACTACAGCAACAGTCAAGTCTCTCTACTGCAACCTTACCATCTTCCAGCCTCTCCCTACGAACTTCTCGAATCCAGCATTAGTGCGGGCATTTTCCTCCCCAGCAAAGGGCTTCAGCGACAATCCCTTCCTTTTATTCGCCCCGTCACCTACTTATCAGTCACATAAATGCCGGCGCCAAAGAACAGAAAAGTGGCCATTGTTGGCAGTCGTTCCGTCGGTCCGTTCTCTCCCCCATGACGACATGGCCAGACTGTTCCCGTTTGCATTAAATGCGGCACATGTCTGGTTTTGGAAAGCAGGATCCATAGACTAACATACTACCTTTGAAAGGCAAATCATCGTTGGCAGTCCAATTCGTAGACGGCCACTTCGTTGATAGTTATTACCCTACCATCGAGAACACCTTCAGCAAAACGATTCGCTACAAGGGACAAGAATTTGCAACAGAAATTGTCGATACTGCAGGACAGGTACGTCATCCCTGAATTATCGCTTTAAGCAACGACCAGACAAGACGACGAGCTGCATTCAGCAGGAAAAGTTGGAAGCGCTATGCATGGGATCGGAGACGTGAGAAAGAATAAGTGCCTCGACTGACGGACAGAAAATTGCAGGATGAATACAGTATTTTGAACTCGAAACACTTCATCGGCATCCACGGCTACATGCTAGTGTACTCAGTGTCGTCTCTACCGTCTTTTGAGATGGTGCAAGTAATCCGCGAGAAGATTCTGAATCACTTGGTACCTATACCCCATGGCAGAATGAGGAAGCAAGAGCAAAGTACTGACTGAAACTACAAAAGGGTACCGAATCAGTCCCTATAGTCATCGTCGGTAACAAGAGTGATCTCCGCCCCGAACAACGACAAGTCAGCGCAGAGGAAGGCAAAAGAGTAGCAGAGAAGATCCAATGCGGATGGACGGAGGCCAGCGCACGATACAACGAGAACGTCGGAAAGGCCTTTGATATCTTGATTGCCGAGATTGAGAAGGCCCAAAATCCGGGCGAGACGGCAGAGGGGGGCAAATGCATTCTCATGTAGGAGTTAATAGAGACCACCACATCAATTACACTTAAACGCAGACCCGACTCAGCCTTAAAATGGCACCAGACTCGACTGGTGCTGACATATTGGGTTGGTGACTGGGTAGCTACTGTAGCTGTGGTTAAGAGGTGTTGGTGCAGATGGTGATTTTTGAGGTTGTTTAGAGTGCACGAGGACATCGAATCACGGCGGTGAATTACTTGGGTTGCGCAATGCTCTCCGAAGGACAGCTGATGGTCGTTCAATACCTCTTAGCAACCTACTGTCTCGGATGATGTGGGTACCATGCGGGTGTTTGAGTCGAATTGCAGGGGGAGGGCCAACAGAGGAGTATCCGTACGGATAGGGATAAGGTAAGGTAGGTACCTACTTGCGATAACGGTGATGATAATAATAACCACTTACCTCACTTGACGAACTTACCACCTAATATGGTAATGGCAGCTTGGGTTGGAGAATGGGGCCTACCTTGTCTTATGCACCTTATTATTCCTACAATTCAGGCGCCGACTCTGCCTTGCCCATTTGCTGGTTGGGCGCGCAAATTGGACCTGTGGACCCCCTACCTTACATCAGCTAGGAACTCAACTCGTGGAGTCCCATCCGGTCTGGTCGCTCTTACTGCCTCTGGAACTGCTCAATGCGACAGCCTACTACTAATTCCTCCTGTGCCTCACATACTTTATCTATCCTCTAACAGCCTTGTCTGCCCGTCGGGCTTGTGAGAATATTGAAAGCAGCGAAGCCGAGAGCCTTTCTTCTCTTGCAGGTCATACATTGACAAGCACCTCCCACTTGGGCCCCTTGGAGAACCCTGCACTAGAGACCTACCATCTTTGTGCCCTCATCCGTGCAGCATCTCAAGTCAAGCGTCGAATACTGGGGATACAACAATGCTTTGAGGCAAACAAGCTTTGACTGGATCCTCTCGGTTGATCAAGAAAAGTGCCCATTCACTGAACTAGCAGGCGTTCGAATGTGTTGCATCGCACTGTCCTTTATATTGCCGTCATTCCACTTGTCTCATTCCAACTTCATCTCACCCAACTCGCCTCCGACTCCATAAGATATCCACCTGGCTAGCCTGGCCCTCGTTGTCAGCTTAGGTCTGTTACCATGGAGCAGAACATGATTTGTCCCTTTTGTGGGAAGGCTGGCGGAGGAGAGCTCGAGATGTTGCTGGTAAGTCTGGTTGCATTTCAAGGTCTTTTCAGTCCACTGACTACTCCCCAGCATATGGAGACATTCCATCCCGAGGAAGACAATTCTCACTCTTCCGCACCTGCAACCGGGACGCCGCAAGAGCAGTATGCCGAGTGTCCAATCGAGGGATGCGGTGAAAGCATTCCTTTGGCAGAAATTGACTATCACATGGACCTTCACCTAGAGGAAGACCGCCAAGTTGCTGAGAACCCTAATTCCCAAGCTATCATTCAATCTCGGCAACCCAATACTTCAAGTGTCGCCGCCGCCTCTAGTAGCCACCGGGAATCTGCTACCGAAGGTCAGAATGCGAACGTTGAGAAGCGAGGAAAACTGCTGTCGCTGACAGCAAAGTCGACAGGCAAGGAAGGAGAAAAACGACTTGGTGTACAGAACCTCCTAATTTAATTGAAACGGAATTCCGACTGATCCTTCTTAGAAAGCAGAATTGGGAAAATATGCGCATGAACAGCAGATGCCAGACTGGCTCGTATCTCTTCTTCATAAAGGTGGCGAAGTGAAGAGCGACGGTGAGTGCCCTGCCGCGGCGTGGTCGGGTGACACTGACGCAGGTAGGGGTGATTTCTGTTCTCGAGCAGCTCTTGAGCCAGAGCAAGTCCACCGAATATGCCTTCTTGTGCGACCCGGCCGTTCAGCATGTATCAAAGCTCAAGAAAGAAGGTATCGTAGTCTCAAAAACTTATTAGGAAAAGCTGATGCTCAATGACATCTAGGAGGGTTTTGTGGCTACCGCAACATTCAAATGATGATTTCTTACATTATTGGCGCTAATGCTCCTGGCGTGGATCATTTTCGGGGCCGGCTGCCTACTATATTCGAGATCCAGGAACTCATCGAGAGAGCCTGGGATCTCGGTATCAACTCCCAGGGGCGGATTGAAACCGGCGGCATCAAGGGGACTCGCAAGTATATCGGTACTCCAGAGGTAAGACGGGGACCAACCCGCAGTATCATTGAAACTTTTGTTTAACTTTTGGGGCTCCTAGGCCCAAGCACTCTTCGTTGGCCTTCAAATACCGTGGGTGTACAAGTATTGAAACTCATATGAGCAAATGACTGACGTTGAAGCAGATGCACTGCCCAGGGGTTCAGAGATCAGGAGCAAGGAAAGTCCGAGGCCAAACTGATGATCGCCGTCGAGCAGTACTTTAAGCAAGGAGCGCATCGCCAAGGCTCAAAAGTAACCTGCACGTCACTTCCGCCTATATACTTTCAGCATGCCGGTAGGTCACTGTTCTTGTCACGTGGAAGAAAACAGTCTGCTAAGAGAGACATCATGTTCAGGCCATTCATTGACAATCGTTGGCTTCGAAAAACAAAAGCATGGCCCTGCTAACCTGCTCGTCTTTGACCCCGTATTTCGCGATCCACCCGCGCTTGCCCGACTTATTGGCCAAACTTTCAAGCACAAATCAGCAGATGAATCTCTCAAGCCATATCGCCGGGGCGCCAAGTACCTCCGACGATACCGCGAGTTCGAAATTCTGAGGTAGGTCCTGAGCACAAAATTCGCCCTGGACCGGGCTAACCATATCGCAGACTTGATAGCCGAATCGCGGTGACCTCGACAGTGCACAGTAGCTCTTGAGTTTAGAACCGCTCCAAGAGCTGTCAGGTCGACGAGGCCCGACTGTGTGCGTCTCATCTATGGCGGTCACTCGGTCCGCTGCTGAGCGAACCAGTCCTGCAACTTCGCGAGAGCAAGACCGCGGTGAGAGATCTTGTTTTTGGCCGCCTTATCCATCTCGGCATAGCTTGGTAACTCATTAGCGAGGCAAGTATCTGCCAACACTCGACAATAGACTTACGTCTGACCATCGTATTCGAAAATGGCATCCCACCCTTGACGCGGTTAGCAAAACAACACCGGGGAGATTACACAACAGTGTGCCAGGGTCCTGCTTACCAAAGTCAACCGGGCCTCGAGGCGGCACAATCTTGCCCTAGTTATAATGTTGGCAAAGGTTCAGGCACGAACAATAATGTTGATGGCTTACTCTGGTTCGTCCCTGGAAGAGGAGAGGTTCGCTTCCAGGACCCGGCGAGTAGGCAAACGTGCACACAGCATCGGCGGATTTGTCCTCATAGGCAACCAGTAGATTGTTCAGGCCCTGGTGGCCGATGGATTCCATGAACCATTTTCTGGGCGCGAAAAGTTAGTCATCGATGATAGTCCGAGGCGGATAGACGAGAATGCATGTCGGCCCCAATATAACCTACATATAAGGGCCTGGGAGATCACCGAGAGCCTTAAAGCAGAGGCAAGTGTCTTCAACCAGAACAGGTCCTTGGATCTAGAAGATGATCAAAAGGAACGGATTAATATGCTATGGATTACACCCTAGGTGTTTCTGAGATACCGCTACTCACAGTCTCGGCGGCCTTGCGACATTTGGCTAGGGTGACTTCCTCAACTGTGCCTTGGACTTCCTCGAGGTCAACAGCGTGGCTTAGTACCGTGATTGCTGGTTCTAGAATAGCCTTGACCTCCCGCAATTTATTGGCATTGCCAGTGATGAATTTGACCATCGGCGGCGTAGACATGACGAGCAGATGTGAAGGGCTGGAGATCCGGTCCGGTGAAGAAATGCTGTTTGGAGGATGGGCTATGTGCAAGGTGTTCCACAATGGATTTGGCGCAGAACTGCAATCGTTCATGTTATGTACGTAAGAGAGTCGTTGTGTCCCCATCGACTACTTTGCTTCGGTGCCGAAGAATGTGATCGCGCCCTGTTGCATTATCCACTTTACTGACGTCGTCTAGTTGCATATACAATAGTTCGATGTCACGGGCAATGGAAAATACTTGCGCGTGCTGGGCCCAAATATAAGACTTGCTGCGAAGCAGGTCCTTACGTATGATCAAAATCTTGCATCGAGACAACGCCTAATGGCCTTTTGAGGACGAATATGTCTATGCAGTTCCCTTTCCCACGTAACATCGTCAGCAGTTCCATGAGTAGTGCGATGAAGAAGACTTCTTTACCCTGGCACCTTCCCACGACAGAGTCAGCCCCCCCCAACGAGACCAAGCTCACGTTCATTTTCCCTGACACGTCGTCACTCCGTCGTCCTCATCCACCTCGTCATGATGAGTGATCCTTCTTCCATTGCTCAAGCCATGCCTCCACCCTCGAAATGTTGGTCTCCATTTCGTCAGATGTGTTGCTTGTAAGCTCCACGACTATTTCCTCGTCAAAGGCCTCCCTGGCCTCTTGCAGTAAGACCTCCATGATTTCTGAGTCTAGATTTTCCTGGAGTTTGGCCTCGGGATACTTCCTGAATGGAGCCAGCCCAGCCGTGTTAGCCCTCGTCTTCATCTTTGCTGACGACCTTGCTGCCACACATTTGCGGAGACGAAAAGGAAGAGATGGAGGGGGGAAAAGCAGACGAAGAACAAGATAGTATCACCCAGGACTCCCTTACCTTGCTGCTAGACGGTCATAGAGTGTGGTCGAATCCACACGCAGCACAACAACGAGGTCAATCCAACTTTTGGGGAACAAGTCGCAGGCGTGCCAGTCAATAATGTAGCCTCCTTCCTGAACGTCTCCCTCAATGGCATCAAGCAACTGAACCCCAGATTCATTAGTATAACAAACACTTAAGCAACAGGAATACTGAGTGTCGGGGTTTTCGCAATGGTGGATTTTAATTCCCACAATTGAGTGTCACAGGACGACAAACCTTGTCCTCGTCAACAATCCAACTCTGAAACTCATCATCCCAGCCCTCATGGCACTCCCGATCTTTGACAACTTGATTAACCGAGA